TGAGTCTGGAGCTGCCGCGCGGCCTCGGCCGTACTTCGTTCCGCTCCTACAGCAGGTTCTTGGTCTTTCTCCTTCGGTAGAGTGTCCACAGCCTGTCCAGTCGCAGTCACTGTTGGAGCCTTCCTCTCCTCTGCCTTCTCCCTCTCCTTACACTGGTCCTACTGGAGGTCTTGCTGAGCGTCGTGAGCCTGCGTCTCGTCCCGCGTTGCTGGTTCGTGCTGCTCGCGCTAGTGGTCGCGGTTCGCGTCAGCGTCCTCCTCCTGTCCCTGGCACGCACCAGATGTCTCTGCGTCCGTCCACTGCTCCTCTACGTGCCCCTTTGCCTTCTCCTCCTGAGTCCTCTCTTCCTGCGCTTGCCGACCCTGAGTCGGACTTTCTTCGCGCTGCCAGTCCTACTGTCACGCGTCTGCTTGCTACTGTCGTCACTGACCCCTCTTTTGAGTCCACTGCTGCGTCTGCTCTAGTCGCTGAGCTCGTTGACTTTGCTGCTCGCTGTCGTCTCGACTACGCTGCTAGTCTTGTTGCTGAGTCTGCGTCTGTCTGTCCTCCGTCCGTCGGGGGTGAGTGTGCTCTTGGCACGGACGTCCTAGAGGACAGGCAGGAGGAGTTACAGTGTCTAGCGGCTGCTTCACCTCATCTCGCGTCTGTACTGCTCGCCCCTGAGGGAGACCCGGATGCACTAGACATCCCGACTCCGCGTTCTTACGCGGAGGCCGTAGAGGGTCCCTACTCCTCTCAGTGGCAGGCAGCTATGGATGCAGAGATGGCTTCCTGGAAGTCCACAGGCACCTACGTTGACGCGGTTCCCCCTCCTGGGGCGAACATCGTCAGTGGCATGTGGATCTTCAGGGTGAAGCGGCCGCCGGGCTCTCCACCTGTCTTCAAGGCACGGTACGTTGCTCGTGGCTTCAGTCAGCGGCAGGGAGTTGACTACTTTCAGACCTTCTCTCCCACCCCGAAGATGACCACTCTTCGGGTGCTGCTGCACATAGCCGCTCAGCGCGACTACGAGCTTCACTCTCTCGACTTCAGCACTGCGTTCCTGCAGGGTAGCCTGCACGAGGAGATCTGGCTGCGCCGTCCACCTGGCTTCACTGGGACTTTCCCTCCTGGCACCCAGTGGAGCCTCCGACGGCCAGTCTACGGTCTCCGCCAGGCACCGCGTGAGTGGCACGACACACTGAGGACTACGCTTGCGGCTCTTGGGTTTGCTCCTTCTACTGCTGACCCGTCGCTGTTTCTGCGCACCGACACTTCACTGCCGCCGTTCTACATCCTCGTGTACGTCGACGACTTGGTCTTTGCCACAGCGGACACTGCTGGACTCGCCTACGTGAAGTCCGAACTGCTGAAGAGACACACGTGCACAGACCTGGGTGAACTGCGCAGCTACCTTGGCTTGCAGATCACTCGGGACAGAGCACGCCGCACCATTACCTTGACCCAGTCACACATGGTGCAGCAGGTCCTTCAGCGCTTTGGCTTCACGTACTCCTCGCCTCAGGCCACTCCTCTGCCTACTCGCCACTCACTCTCAGCTCTGCCTTCGGATGAGTCCGTAGAGTCGAGTGGTCCGTATGCAGAGCTTGTTGGCTGCCTCATGTACCTGATGACCTGCACACGACCTGACCTTGCATACCCTCTGAGCATTCTTGCACGCTATGTTGCTCCTGGGAGACACAGACCAGAGCACATGGCTGCAGCGAAGAGGGTATTGCGCTACCTGTGCAGTACGTCGGGCATGGGGCTAGTGCTTGGAGGGCGGAGTCCAGTGGTCCTTACCGGCCACGCGGACGCTTCTTGGGCTGACGACCAGGCTACGCAGCGGTCGTCACAGGGTTACACCTTCAGCCTTGGTTCCGGCTCTGTCTCGTGGCGGTCTACTCGCTCGTCTTCGGTTCTCGGCTCCAGTTGTGAGGCTGAGATCTACGCCGGGGCCATGGCTGCACAGGAGCTTCGCTGGCTCACCTACCTGCTGACTGACCTTGGAGAGCCACCTCGTTCTCCTCCAGTGCTGTACGTAGACAACAAGGCCATGCTGGCCTTGTGTCGAGAGCAGCGCTTGGAGCACAGAACGAAGCACATTGCTCTCCGCTACTTCCTTGCTCGTGAGCTGCAGCAGCGTGGTCAGTTGCGACTTGCGTACGTTGCCTCTGAGGCCAACACTGCTGATGTGTTCACCAAGGCACTCGCGCCTTGTGACCATCAGCGCTTTTGCACCCAGCTGGGTCTTGTGCCTGTCTTGCCTCACTTGCTCTCCTCTTGACTTCACTTGTACTGTGACATATATATATACATGCTCTTGCTTGTCTAGTTTTATATATATGTCTGTACTCCTGCATGTGAACTGGCCTCTGGCCCTGCTCTTGTGCTCGGACTGTGTGGTGACTTTGTGATCCACCCTGAGCTTGCTTTGCTTTGCTTGACTGGTCTTGTGACCCCTTGTTCTCCCCCACTTTGCCTATGGGGGTGTGTCAAACATTATATATGTTATGCTTGTGTAGGCTACAGTGGGTTAGCCTATAGGGGGTACACAATTCTAGGGTTTCCTACTTGTACTCATTTCACTGCTAGTTCATTCATTCCTGTTCGCTTATTCTCACACTACCTTCGCGAGCTGCTGGAAGAAGCAAAGTTAGCTGAGTTACCCAACTTCACCCTGTTCTGCGACAACCAATCTGCAATTCGCATCGCCAACAAAAGCGGATTCGCGAACAGAACGAAGCATATCGCTCTGCGATATTTCTTCGTGAAGGACGAGATCGAGAAAGGGAAACTCGAATTATCCTACTGTCCCACGTCCGAGATGGCAGCCGATTATTTGACCAAGAAACTCGGAAAACAGAAGTTCGAGTACTGCATGCTGCTGACTGGACAAGGCCACGTCACCATCAGCGACACTACAGAAGCGAAGGGGAGTGTTGGGAATAATAAGTCTTGAGCGCCTCTGTCGTGTCGAAACTCAGGACACTAGCGTGACAAAATTAGAAGGAAGAAAGAGGGGTGAACTAGCAGAAATGGGGATACAAATAGCAAACCCTAGAAGGGTTGTACTCGCTATAGAGCACCCCACTACAGGCTAGAGCATAAGATAACATTCTGACACACCCCCATAGCCAAAGTGGGGTGTAATCAGCAGAGCAGGCAAAGCAGTACAAGCTCAGGGTGGATCACAATGTCACCACACATTCTGAGCACAAGTTTAAGAAGCAATAGTTTAGAGTTCATAATTATGAGCAAAGCTAGTGGTAGTCACAACGGGAAAGTGAGGAGGAGGAGAGAGAGTGAGGGGAGAGGAGATAGGAGGCGACGGCTGAAGCTGCAGACACACGGGCAACAGGAGGCAGACTGGCACAGCGGCTACCGGACAGCGCCCGGACTACAGGAGTAACAGGCCCCGCGGCTCAAGTAGCGGCAGACGGGCAACGGACCCACGGGCAGCTGGCGTAGAAGTCTAGCTCACTGGGCTACCGGGACAGCGCCCCGGACTACAGGTGCTGCTGACGACAAACTGGCAACCTCCGCTCATCCTCCCGCACACAGTCCCACCCCCCTGATACACACCCGCTGCTACACCGCTAGCTCCACTCCCACGCACCCCCCTTAAACCCTAAACCCCAGTCTCCCACACAACCACCCCCCTCAGCGACAGCTGCAGCAGTGGGAGACGAAGGAGGAGGAGGAGCAAAGGGAGGAAAGCACACCGGCCACCCCCATACCCGCCACCCCACAGCTCGCAAGCGGCCCCCTCAGGTCGCCACGACAGACGACGGGAAATGGGGGGGGGGAGGAGGGGGGGGGGGGGGGGGGGGGGGGGGGGGCGCTAAGTGGGGCGGCGGGGCCACGAAGTGGGGCGGCGGGGCCGCGACGGGTCGGTGGCGGGGCCGCGACGGGTCGGTGGCGGGGCCACGACCGGAGTTGGCGGGGCCGCGACCGGAATCGGCGGGGCCGCGACCGGAGTTGGCGGGGCCGCGACCGGAGTTGGCGGGGCCGCGACCGAAGGCGGCTGGGCCGCGACGCGAGGCGGCAGGGCCGCGACCGGAGGTGGCGGGGCCGCGACGGGTCTGTGGCGGGGCCGCGACCGAAGGTGGCGGGGCCGCGACCGGAGTAGGGCGGCGGGGCCGCGACGGGTCCCCGTCGCCTGTCGCAACGCCTCCAGAGCGGGACGCGGCGAACGCCGCGAGGCAGACGCCCGCCGCGCGCCTCGGGGCGCACAGCGGGCAGAGAACCGCCGCGCGCCTCGGGGCGCACGGCGGGCAGAAAACCGCCGCGCGCCTCGGGGCGCACGGCGGGAGGAAAAAGTAGCAGCGGAAGCGAGGTGGTAACCCACCCACAGGATCGATCCAAGGGGATCGACCTGCTCTGATAGCATGACAAAGTTTGAAGAAAGAAAGAGGGGTGAACTAGCAGAAATGGGGATACAAATAGCAAACCCTAGAAGGGTTGTACTCGCCATAGAGCACCCCACTACAGGCTAGAGCATAAGATAACATTCTGACATAGCGAAGCAGTCCGAATCGAAGCATCGCGAGTCAACCCTCGGAGGTTAGGGTAACCGCCTGGAGGTTACGTGAAGGTCAAAGGTCAGCGACCTTTGACTTGACAAATACAGCGCGACAGCAAGGACACACAACTGACTCGACATTGAGCAGTTGCCCGAGTCGCACTGTATCGAATCGCAACAGTAAAACGGTTTAAACTTATCTATTCGTATTCCTTGTACTCTTATATAAACCTTTGTATTTACTTGTTTTATTAACATACTTTGCCCTCACATACTAGCGCAAGGTGGTTCAAGGACTTTCATTCAAACGCTTCCGCTATTACAATCCTACTCAGACTTTAAGCTCTACAAAGATCCTAGGGCACCTCAGCCCAACAAAAATTTCGCACCACTTTCCCTTCCATTTCCAACATTTATTTTTTATATTTTCCTACATAAACTTGTTCTCATTTGTGGTATACACTTGTTATAACGTATGTGTACAGGCATAAACACATTAGCCAGAATCAGCCCCACCTCCAAAAGCCTGCTTATCATAGTCTACAGCTTTGAGGTGTTCAATATCGGCCCACCGTAAGATGGTCCACTTGTCTGGAGGTGTTATTCTAACAATGCCAATCGATGTGTTGTACACTTTCTTTGCATGCCTGTTTCCTGATGCCTTCATTTGAATGCAATTGCACACTCCACCGTGAGTCACCAGGAGCACCCTTTGGCCTGCAAACAGGGTTCAAAAGCCATCATTTACACATATGCAAAGGCGAAGAAACATGGAAGTGCTGCTTTCCTGCTCTTACCGAGGTGCTCCTTGGCAATGCGATTGACGGTTGTTGTCACCCTCCCATACATGGCCTCCAAGCTCTCTCCCCCTCCCTTGTGTTCACACGAGTCAGACAGAGTCAGAAACAAGAGCGCAAGCAAACCACTGCAGCGTGAGAGGGGTAGAGAAGGCACAGTGCGGGCCGGCCAGGCAACAGACAAAAACGATGATGGAGAGGGGGAGAAGAGGCGGCAAAGGAGTGGCATACAGGAATGGGTTGACTCCAGTCCTTTGAGGTCAATATGCCGTAGGCCTCAGGGTACTTCCGAGAAGCTTCCTCCCGAACGAGGCCCTCTAGAACCCCCAAGTTGCGCTCCCTGAGCCCCTGCAGCCGCACCACCTGCTCTCCCCCCATGCCCACCGCCTCTGCCACCGCCTCCGCCGTCTCTGCCGCCCGCCTGAGGTCCGACGAATACAGCGCTGTGAATGGCAGGTCGCCCGCCGCGAAGCGAGCTGCCAGCTGGCGGGCGGAGAGGGGTTGGAGAGGGCATGGGGAAGGCATGGAGAAAGAAGGAGGAAGGAGGGGGTATGAGGAAAGGAGGAGCGCATGGGAGCCTGAATGAGGGGGAAGTAAGTGCGGGGAAGATGGGTAGCGTGCAGGACGATGGAGAATGACATGTAGTGAATGGGCATGGAGCCGGGGAGAACAGGGGAGAGGACGAATGACTCAATTGGAAGACAAGCGTGAGGGGTGAGGCGGGGACGAGTCGCGGCGCACCGCGCGGGCCTGAGCGCGCCCAACGTCGCTGAGGTCCGACTCCGTCTGTCCCTGCATGCGGTTCTCGCGATTCCACGTCGTCTCGCCGTGTCGCACCACCACGATCTCCGCCACGTCACGCGGAATAAACGGATTCGATCGGTGCGTCCACGTGGCTTGCGTGGCGCCTTCGGCTGAAGATTCCACGCGCGACGTGGTGGCATCAGTGCTGGTCGCTGCCGTGAATCCCGGATCACCGGCTGCTTCTGGCCCCCCCGGCATTGTCACACTACCAGATGAAACGAAGCCAATCAGCGATTGTGGGACGACAGTCGACGAGGTAACCAGTTTCCTGAATTGCGATGGCGAAGGAGAACGGTGAGCAGCGCGGCGTGCGGCGAGCAGCGAAGTGCGAAAAAGTCGAAGTGAGGGCATGAAGAGGTGGCGACGGCAATGGCGACTGCAGTCGAAAAAGTACTGCGAGGAATGAGAGGTGGTGGTGGTGAATGGTTTTTGTACCCGCTACAATTGTTTTTAGAGCTTGGATTTGTGAAAATGAGGTGGAGGAACATTACAACATATTTTCCAGCTAAATCCATCCGATCACCGACTACTTGCCCTAACTCTGCTAGAATTTCAGCCCGTCAAAACCACAGCTTGTGTCGGTCGGTCCTCGCAACAAGTTGTTGCGACTGATCTCTCGCAATACGTCACACGTTCCTGAGGCGGTCGTCAAGCTTTCGCACGCTACGCGGGAGAGGAAGACCGCGAATCGCCTTCACCGCCGCGCGGCGAGGAGCCGAATGGCACACGTGCTGCTCAAGCGCACGTCGGCACCCACCGCCGCCGCGGCACGGCGAGACGACGGGTCGGATCGCTCCTCAGGGCAGGTGAATCCTCTTCTTCTCGCACCCGCGCCCTCGTATGTTTCACGCCTTGACTGCGGGCCCGTCTCCCCGTGTCTTTATCCGAACTCTCGGTCGTGGCGCCTCGGTCTAGGCTTGAAATCGCAATCTCGCTCTTCACCCTAATCGCTCCTTTTTTTTACATGCGGCTGCACGTTGCATCTCACCAGGTTTCATCCATTTGCACCTCTTTGCACCGCACTGAACCGCAGATGGAGCACCTCCAGCGCTATGAAGAGGAGCAGATGAGCCAGCTCCGCTATTGGTCGCCTGCTCCTGCCAGAGCTGACGTGGCGCATCCAGATTCGCTCGCTGCTGACGTTGACGATTTACTAGAAGTGGCAGCGGCAATAAGACAAGTGGATTCGGATAAGAGCCTTACCAGCCAAGTCAGCGACACGGGGAGCCAACGATTGCGGCTGACTCAGCAGCACCAGCCAAAGCATGTCGGACACGTGGCAGCGGCAACAGCCTTGGAGGCGGCAAGGAGTGGGATGGATGAGGAGAGGAATACAGGGAGCAGCGAGAGGGGAGGGGCCGTGGGGCAGGGCAACTGGGGCGAGGGGGTGGTGGTGCATGCTGGGAAGAGCATGGGAGGGGCGGTGGGAGCAGCAGCAGCAACAGCCGCCGCGACTGAGGCTGCAGCAGCACTCATCCGACCCCGTGGGCTGTACGCTGTCGGCCAATCAGGGCGCAGCTTGGGTGGGGGGAGGCGACAAGCCAGGCGTGGTGTCGAGGACAAGCTGGGAGAAGCGGCGACAACGGGAGGTGGTCGGGGAGGGGGGGGAAGGGCAGGGGGGGAAGGCGACGGAGAAAAAGGAAGAGGGCGAGAGGGGGAGGGGGGGGCGGTGAGGGCAGTGGACAGTGTGAGTCTGCTGCACCAGCAGCAACCGCTGCTACCAGAGGGGGCCTCAGAGGACCACCTTCGCCGCTTCGGCTCCATCACTCGCTCCCTCTCCCTCTCCTCCTCCTCCTCCACCCCCACTGCTGCTGCCGCTGCCGCTGCCGCTGCTGCAGCGGCTGCTACTGCTGCTGCGGGAGGGATTGAAGGCGTCAAAGGCTCCCCAAGCTCCCTCCGTTGTTCTCCCTCCCCGACCTTTTCCTCCCAAGCTTCAGGGACAGGCTTGGCCCAAGCTTTGCTGTACAGGACTAGGAGCGAGTGTGGACGTGTGGGGGATGGGGGTAGGCGTGTGGGGAGTGAGGGCACTGCATCTCCTAGCCTCTCTGCCACGGGGTCAGCACACACTGCTGCCACGTTAGCATGGGAAAGCTGCTCCGATGGGTCAGTGGGGGCATTAGAGAGTGTGCATGAGGCTCTGGTGACGAGCAGGAGGGGCGAGCGGCAGTGGCGGGGGAACAGCATGAGTAGTGTGAGAGAGGAGATGGGAATGGGCGTGTGGAGTGCGAGTGAGGGAGTGCGGGTGGAAACGGGGCGTGGAAGTGTGCTGGGGAGGGGGCATGGAGTGGCAGCACATGAGGTGGAGGGGCGGTGGGGGTCGGAGGGCGGGTATGTGACGCGCAGGGAGATGCATGCGGTGCTGGCAGGCATGGCTCAGCTGCAACACACCGTTGATGGTGTACTCCTTCACCTGCAGCAGCAGCAGCAGCAGCAGCAACAGCAAACGGGGCAGACACAGCAGCAGCAGTTTTCAGGGGCAGCAGCCGGCAGGAGCAGGGATCTGAGCGACGAGCAGCAAAGTCCGCAAGGCCGTTCATGGTCAGGAGAGCAGGGCAGGGAAGGCAAGGAAGCACCGCTGCTGCTGCCGCTGCCTGCAGTGCTGCTGCTGTCCGCCCTGGTGGCCCTCGTGCATGCGCTCTGGTCCACCTGCAAGTGGGGCGTGGGGCTCGTGTGGCCGCTGTGCCTGCTGCTGCCCCTCATGCACCGCATGGAGCACCACTGCCGCCTGCACTGCCAGCTCTGGACTGGAGCTGGGGATGGCATGGACCGAGAATGAAGGGCTTTTTTCCGTGCCTGCTGTGCTGTCCATTCGATTGGTTGGCAAAGCTGCTCAATTGTGGTTTGCTTCGCTTGATTGCTTGTGGGTCAAATGTGCCTTTCTGTGGAGTGTATAGATGCGATGTGCAGAATGACCACTTGGCGTGTTGTGAGTTTTTAAGCAAATACAGTACACACAAGAATGCATCACTCAGGAAGGCATGATGCATAGAACCTACCTAACAGCCACCTACAGTGACAGACAACCGTGACCACATTTCTGCTTGCCCACACTCAGTCCCTATCCGCCTTTACCCCTGCTGGGTTGCAATCTCACCACGGGTGACCGAGGGGGTCTCTTCCTCCCCGGTCTGCCTCGACCTGCCAGCACCGCTTTCACCCTCCACACAATGCTCTTTGCCGCTTGGTTTATGGTGCCGGGTGGAGGGGAGGCGGGCAAGGGCCGCAGGAGGCGTTGCGAGGGTGGTGGAGGGGTGAGGGGCGGTGGGTATGGTAGGGTGAGCTTGCAGGAGGCAGAGAGGAGGTCCCAGTTGTGCTGGATGAGAAACTTGGAGCCGTTGACCCCCACCAGGTTGTACCTGGTGCCAGAATCGTCAGTGAAAATGGGGGCGAACCTGCAGGCACCAGTGATGAGGTCCCAGTAGAGAGGAAAAGGAAAAGGGTGAGCCAGCAGGCACCAGTGATGAGGTCCCAGTTGTGCTGGATGAGGAACTTGGAGGCGTTGACCCCCACCAGGTTGTACCTGGCTTTTGATGGGTCCGTGAGAATGGGGGCGAACCTGCAGAGGCGAGGCAGAGAGGGACAGGAAGAAAGGAAAAGAGGGGGAAAATGAGGGGGGTTGTGGTGGTAGGGCGGGGGGGTTGAACTTGGAGGCGTTGACCCCACCAGGTTGTATCTAATGGGAGGGCCTGTTCGAATGGTAGAGAACCTGGATGGGGGAGGGTATTGCACGAGGGATGGGAGGGATGACTGGACCAGGCCAAAAGGGTTGGACCTGCATTTTCTCACTTATGTATGTCGGAGTAAGAGGAGGGGCGTAAGCGAAGGCAGAGGGCCCCGTGCAGACACGAGAGACGCAGAAACAGACCATTTGGAAGCCGCATTCGCTGAATACTAAGACGCCTCAAAACTGACACGGGTATAATCAAACATGAGAGGCACTGTGCACTCACGTCCACGAGCACTTGTCGGCGACTTTTGAGGCGCCTCACAAGACGTGCAGACACGAGATGCACTGTGAACTGTGCACTCACGTCCACGAGCACTTGTCGGCGACTTTTGAGGCGCCTCACAAGACGTGCAGACACGAGATGCTCTGTGAACTGTGCACTCACGTCCACGAGCACTTGTCGGCGTTCTCCTCCCCGTCGCTGTCAAACCACGTGGAGACGAACGGGCTGGCAGCAGCCTCTGCGAGCTCGTGGGCGAACACCGACACGAGGCCATCCATGCCTGGGTCGCCCGTGGGGGAGAGGGACGCGTTGCCGCGGATGTCTGCTGCTATGCACGAGGCAGGGCACTGCGGGAATGGTGTGAAAAACGCAAGAGAGTAGAAAAAGGGCTCGCAAAGGCAGCAGCGGGCACGAGGCCATCCATGACTAGATCGCCCGTGGGGGATAGAGAGGCGTTGCTGCGGATGTCGGCTGCTATGCACGATGTGGGGCACTGCAAGGGGGGTGGAAGGGGATCGAAGAGAGGAACAAAACGACGTGAGAGAGGTGAGGTCAAGGGTTGCGGGTGCGAGAGGCGGCCACATAAGGTGACCACGTTATGAAAGATTGCATGTTCAAGGAGCAACCAGATACGAGGCCAACCCTTTCACGCACCTGCTCACCCACCCACCGGCAGGGATGCCCCCCTCCCACGCACGTACCAGAACATTTTCTCGCCCACCCACCCACGCACCTGCAAGTCTGCCTTGCCGGTCCATGCAGTAAGGAACGTGCCGAAGCCAGGTGCCGAGCCGAAGAAATGCCATCCGCAGAATGCCTCACAGAAGCGGTCCGCCTGAAGATTGTCGCTGCTCGCCTGCGTTACACTCGCGTCCGACAGCACGAAGTACACCCCGTCCGCGTTATAAGGCAGCTTCCCGCTCGTGATGGCGTCAGAGATAAGTGCCGTGACGTCAGCATCGTAGAGCGTGGCGCCGCGGGAGTATCCCGCGTCGTCCGTCTCTCCGCCCCAAGTGACGGTTTCCGTCACGCGCCGTCCAGCCTGGTCGTGGTACTGCCGGTTCACGTTCCACCACAACGGTACTGCGAGGTTGATAGAGGAGAAAGTGGAGAGAGGGAGTGGGGGCATTTGTGGGCAAGGGAGTGTCGGGATTCGAGGGGAATTTTAAGAGGTCCGCCGGCTTCCGCGGAGGCTTCTCGAGGAAATCGATGGGGGGCTACCCACCAGTGACGGCGGTGTCAGCGTTGGGGCTGAGCGATGCGACGAAGGTGCGGAGCGTCTGCTTCTGAGCGGCGGAGAACACGCCGTACCACATCACGAACACGCGAATCGGCCTATGCAGCACGCCGCACCGCCCATCCGAGCACCAGTGCGGTGAAACGCCGAATGTCGGCTTGGCAATGCCTGCCTTCGATGCTACCCCTGCTGCTGTTGCTGCAACTGCGGATGCACGTTGCGTCGCGAGAGTGACCGTGCTCCGCATCACGCTGCTTAGAGTCTGCCTCGCCAAAGCTTCTCTCAAAGCCGTAGGGCGCGTTATTTGAGCTCCCAATGTAGCTTTTATAGTGCCGACGATGCCTCTCCCTCTCACCGTATTCCTCTTCATTAATCTCCTTTTGGCCGCTCCTTTCCTGCCCGTCTTTTTCCCGCTCTCTGTGTGTCTTCCCGCCCTCAAGTGCTGCCCATTGATTTCATCGTCATGCAGACCACGAAAATGCGCCGGATTGAGCCTGCCTGGCGGGCTTTTCGCAAGAGCAGGCAGAGTTTTTCTAGTTTTATTTGACGACACGTAGGTCTTGCCGGCATGCGCGGCGCGTGAGTACGAACAACCCGTCAGTAGGAGACATAGCACTGTGCACACGCACACGCGCGACATCCCTCTGTTTGCTATGATAATCTCTGTTAATCCAATAGCCTACGCCACGAAGGTTAAGGAATAGACGGAAAGTCGAGAGACTTTACGTTTCGCGGATCACGACTTTCGTGCAGAACATGGTGTGGTGGAGGGGAGGTGATGGGAGGAAATGCAGGGAGGCAAAGGAAATTGGGTTGTAATGGGAGTGCGAGATTGTGGGCCACCACGCCCTAGTGAATCGTGATCTATTTTTGTCGGTCGCATCGCGGGGAAATTCATCAACCGGACCGGAGCGCTTGGTTTGGGTGGGAGGTTTGAACCCGCTGGAGCCGTTACCAATTCGTTTCTCGTTATATCATGCATCCCCTGCCATTCGTTACGCGAGCATGATAGTGCTAGTTTTAGTGAATCTAAAGCAGAAAACTAGGCATAGCCGATGACCTGCATCACTACTAAGGTGTCAGCCAACTAACAAAACAAGAAGCATTCAGTATGATACAGGGCAAGATTTATCGAACGAAATAAAACAAAAACTTAACAAGGCTACCCTCCTGGATGGAATATTTTGTTGATGAAGTCTTTTTTTTGTGCGGCGAGGATAGTCGTTTTGGAGGAGAGGGTGGGGGTCTAGGAGGAGGGGGGGGTGAAGGCGGAGGAGATGGTGAGCTTGGAGGTGGAGATGGTGGGCGTGGAGGGGGCGGAGGAGGGGAGGGTGTTGGGGAAGGGCTAGGAGAGATAGGTGGTGGGACGGTTAGTACACAAGAGCCAAAAACCAGGTCCCAATTTTGCTGGACGAGGAATTTGGAGCCATTGACCCCCACCAGGTTGTATATGATGTCAGAGGCGCCAGTTTCAAGGCGGTCGAACCTGTCAGGTGGGAACGGAATAGGAGAGGAGACGGAAGGGGGATGAAGGAGGGCACGAGGGAGGCATCAATACTGGAAATGTGATGGAGAGTGGAAGTGCTAGTATCAGAGGCTAGGCAGAAAGGTACAATGTATGACCAGGTCACAGAATGGTAATGCAAGGGCTGCTCACATCCAGGCGCACTTGTCGGCATTCTCATTGAGTTGCCCCTCAAACCACGTGGAGCCACAGGGGCTGGAAGCGGCTTCTGCGAGCTCGTGGCCGAACGCAGAGACGAGGCCATCCATGCAGAGAGGTAAGACCCAACAACCAACACTATTATAGCCCAGCTTCTTGGAAACTAAGCATTAAGTTCCACGTAAACGCAGAGCTTTCCTCAACAGTTTCCCCAGAAGGCCCTCTGCAGAAAAAAAAAAACCCACACAAACACACATACACACACACACACACACACACACACACACACACACACACACACACACACACACACACACACACATACATACATACACATTTATGCACACATATTCATACACACACACACGCACACATGCACGCACGCTCGCACACCCACACACGCACGCACGCGCGCGCACACACACACACAAACACACACACACAAACACATACACACATATATACACACACACACAAACACACACACAAACACATACACATTTACACACACACACACACGCACACGCACGCACGCACGCGCGTGCACACACACACATACACACATACATACACACACACAAACACACACTTATACACACACACAGACATACTGTCAAAATAGTAATCAGAAAGTTAGAATAGGAAAGAGGATTTGCACTAGCAGCAGTTGAGATACATATAGAGTCGTGTCACAATTGGGTTGTACTCGCTATAGAGTACCCCACTGCAGGCTAGACAAATACAACATTCTGACACACCCCCATAGCCAAAGTGGGGTGTAATCAACACAACAAGCAGTCATAGAGCAGGTTCACAAGTACAAGCAAAGCTAGAGGCATTCACAAAGGGCAAGTGAGGAGGAGGAGGCTGGACTGTGAGAGGAGAGGAGATTGGAGGCGACGGGTGAAGCCACAGTCACACGGGCCATAGGAGCGCGCACACGGTGGCTACCGGAGATTGTAGCCTCCGGACTATAGGAGTAACTGGCTCCGCGGCTAAGACGAGCGGCAGGAGCAACGGACCCACGGGCGACTCGCGCAACAGGCTCGCTGAGCTACCGGAGATTGTAGCCTCCGGACTGCTGGCGCTGCTGGCGACACGACGGATACCTCCGCACAACCTCCCCCAACTGTCCCACCCCCCTTTCACACACCCCTTGCTGTACCCCTAGCTCCACTCCCACGTCACCCCCCAAGCACCACTCCCTCGGCTCCCACACACCCATCCCTCTCAGCGGCAGCTGCAGCAGTGGTAGACGGAGGAGGAGGAGGAGGACCAAGGGACGGCTCACACACCCGCCACTCCCATACCCGCCACCCCATACCCTAAACGCAGGTGGCGCATGGGTCCCTGGGGCACTGCGACGGGCGACGGGAAGGGCGGCGCGCAGCCCCCGAGGCGCTTCAACGGGCGACGAGAGAGAGGGGCGACGCGCGGGCCCCCAGGGCGCTGCGGCGGGCGACGGGCAGGGCTGCACGCAGGCCCCCGAGGCGCTTCGATGGGTGACGGAAGGAGGGGCGACGTGCGTGTCAATAACAGTAGCAGAAAGAGGGTTTGCACTAGCAAGAAGTTGAGTACATATAGGAAACCCTAATCTGGGATGTACTCGCTATAGAGTACCCCACTGCAAGCTAGACAAATATAACATTCTGACACACCCCCATATTCAAAGTGGGGTGTGATCAGCACAAGAAGCAATAGTTTATAGTTCACAAATATAAGCAAAACTAGAGGCTATCACAAAGGGCAAGTGAGGAGGAGGAGGGACTATGAGAGGAGAGGAGGTAGTGGGCACCAGCTGAAGGTGCTGGCACACGGCGCAGCTGGAGCAACTGGCACACGGGCAACTAGAGCAACTGGCACACTGGCAACTGGAGCAACTAGCACATGGGCAAGAGGAGTAACTGGCTCTGCGGCTAGACGAGCGGCAGGAGCAATTGACTCTCGGGCGACTGGAGCAACCGGCTCATGGGCGACTGGAGTGACGGGCTTACGGGCGTCTGGCGCAACGGTCTCACGGGCGACTGGAGCTGGTGGCTTCACGGCGGCCACCCCCCTTCAACCTCCCCCTTTGTCCCAAAACTCCCGTTCACACCTCCTACTGCACCCCTAGCTTCACTCCCACGACACCCCCCTAGCACCGCTCCTTCAGCTCCCACACATCCACCCCCCTCAGCGGCAGCTGCAGTAGTGGGAGACGGAGGAGGAGGAGGAGCAAGTGGCGGCGCACACACCCGCCACCCCCATACCCGCCACTCCGCAGTTGCACGACGGCAGGGAGCGGTGCGCGGCTCCAAAGGGCAGCACGCGCGGGCTGCAGGGGCGGCTCGCGGGCTGATGTGGCGGCTCGCGGGCTGTAGGGGCGGCTCGCGAGCTGCAGAGTGGCAGCGCGCGGGCCCCCTGAGGGCGCCACGGCGGGTGACGGGAACGAGGCCGCGCGCGGGCCCCGTGGGCACCTCGACGGGCGACGAGAGGGGTTGCGCGCGGGCGGGCGCCTTGACGGGCGGCGGGAGGGGGCGACGCACGGGCCCCCAGGGCGCCTTGACGAGGCGACGGGACGGGGCGACGCGCGGGCCCCCAAGGCGCCGCAACGAGGCGACGAGAGGGGATGGCGCAGGCCCCCAAGGTGCCGCGACGAGGCGACGGGAGGGGACGGCGCGCGGGCCCCCAGGGCGCCGCGACGAGGCGACGAGAGGGGGTGGCGCATGGGCCCCCAAGGTGCCGCGACGAGGCGACAGGAGGGGACGGTGCGCAGGCCCCCAGGGCGCCGCGACGAGGCGACGGGAGGGGAGTGAGTGTGGTGCTGTGGCGAAAGAAACAGCGGGAAGCACCAGAGTCAAGTCTAAAGGTGTGCAAGGCCTGTGCGGATGCAATACCAAGCAGAGCAGACTCACAAGCACCCAGAGCTGCAGGCGCTATACCTGGGGCTATATCGGGGTCAGGCGGCACACACAAGTAGCAGTCACCCTCAGCACTAATAGTCAATGCATACATGGCAACAAGAATAGCATCATAGTCAAGATCAAAGATAGGTACATCACGCCTAAGCAGGTCTGCCCATTTGGGGAACTCAGTAGCATCAGGAAACTTGACGCGCCAGGCGTCGCTAAGCCGAGCGAAGCAGCGATACTCAGTGTGAAAGCCGGTGCACTGGCGACCAGCGTGGGGACCTGCGTGAATGATATAGAGGCAGCACCCAGGACCCCCAGACGCCCCACGCCCGGCATACCAGTCAAGAAGCTGCTGGGAAGTGGGGGTCTGGCGCTGACGCTACTGCCGCTACTGCTGCTGCTGCTGCCCCTGGCCACCACTGGTCTCACCCAAGCCCCCACCACCGCCGCCACCACCACTACCCCCTCCGCCATCACAGCTGCCGCCACTGCCACTGCTCCCGGCACCACCACCGCCCCCACCACCACCTCCACCCCCACGACCACCCCCACCACCTCCACCTCCCCCGCCGCCTCCACCACCGCCCCCTCCACCGCCACGTCCGCTACCCCTGCCTCCCCTGGAGCCGCTGCGCTTCCCACTAGGAGCGGAAGCAGCTGCGACCTTCTCAGCACCAAGGAGGTTGACAGTAGCAGCTGCGGAGGTGTAGGAGGGGGTAAGAGGGGAGGGGGAGCACCCCTCAAAGAGGGGAGTGTGAGGAGTACCACGAGCAGCACCTACAGCGAGGATGTTCTTCTCTGCTGCTAGGAGGTGCTTCTCGAAGTCGGTGACAGTGAGAGTGGTAGGGTATAAGGCTAGGAAGTGGTCCATGACAGAGCTAAGAGTGCCAGGGAGGCGGGTGACGAGGAAATAGAGAGTAAAGTACATCTAAGGGGGGGGCACGGGGGGTTCTCGGCGGAGAACTTGGTTGGAAGGGCGGAACGAAAGCGGGTGTCACTAGTGTGAAGGTGAGAAATGAGGTCCTCAGCAGTGGTAAACGAGGACAGTTCTGGGAAAAGGTAGGGTAGCATGAGCCGACCTAAGGCTGCAGTGGCCGGGGAGGAGAAGCGCGCAACTACAGCGTCTTACAGTGTCTTAGCAGTTTTGTGCTGGCTGAAATGCGCGCGCTTGGTAATCGGCAGATAATTCCGAATAGCTAGGCGTGCAGCAGCATCGCGAGTCTACAACTGTGAGCGTTCGAGAGCGGTAGCATCATCAGCAGGAGGAACGGAAGTGCCAGATGTGTAATCGAACAGTGAAACGCCGTCTTTGGCATCAGTCAAAAGAAACAGTTGGAGATTATCGAGCCACGTGGTGAACTCTATCGGGCGACCGTCAGGCTCAAACGCGAGAACAATAAGTGTCGCCATAATCGCAGTGCAGGCAAAGGCAGTAGGCAGCAGGCAGCATGCAAAGGGCGCAAGCAGCAAGTCCTAGGCATAGTCACAGTCACAGTCGTGGGGTAGCGGTAGGTGGGCCCGAAAAAAAAAAACGGTCCTATGGGACCTATTGCTCTGAATACCATGTCAAGAACAGTAGCAGAAAGTTAGAACAGAAAAGAGGGTTTGCACTAGCAGGCAGTTGAGTACATATAGGAAACCCTAATCTGGGCTGTACTCGCTATAGAGTACCCCACTGCAGGCTAGACAAATATAACATTCTGACAGCGCGGGCCCCAGGGACGCCACGACGGGCGACGAGAGAGAGCGACGCGCGGGCCCCCAGGGCGCCACGAAGGGCGACGGGAGGGGACAGCGCGCGGGCCCCCGGGGCGCCACGACGGGCGACGAAACCGCCGCGCGTTCCCCGGGCGCGCGGCGTGCACGAAACTGCCACGCGCCCTGAGCGCATGGCAGGCAGGCGCGTGGCGGGAAGAAAATTTGAAGATCGCATGCCATGGGGCGTGGGACAGACAGTATGGCAGCGGAAGCAGGCGGGCCCACAGGCCAGGAGCGTAACCGTTCTGATACCATGTCAAAATAGTGAGCGGAAAGTTAGAATAGGAAAGAGGATTTGCACTAGCAGTAGTTGAGATACATGTAGGAAACCCTAATTGTGCTGTACTCGCTATAGAGTACCCCACTGCAGGCTAGACAAATACAACATTCTGACACACACATACATACACACATACACACACACACACACACACACACACACACACACACACACACAGACACACACATTCACACACACACACACACACACACACACACACACACACACACACACACACACACACACACACACACACAACACACACACACACACACACACACACACACACACACACACACACACACACACACACACACACACACACACACACACACACACACACACACACACACACACACACACACACACACACACACACACACACACACACACACACACACACACACACACACACACACACACACACACACACACACACACACACACACACACACACACACACACACACACACACACACACACACACACACACACACACACACACACACACACACACACACACACACACACACACACACACACACACACACACACACACACACACACACACACACACACACACACACACACACACACACACACACACACACACACACACACACACACACACACACACACACACACACACACACACACACACACACACACACACACACACACACACACACACACACACACACACACACACACACACACACACACACACACACACACACACACACACACACACACACACACACACACACACACACACACACACACACACACACACACACACACACACACACACACACACACACACACACACACACACACACACACACACACACACACACACACACACACACACACACACACACACACACACACACACACACACACACACACACACACACACACACACACACACACACACACCCGTTTCGTTAATGTTACTGTCAGTAGATTTGCACTGTGAGATCCCCGATTGATCCTAGGGGGGTTACAGGCGCGTTCGCTTGGGGGGTTATGGGCGCACTGACCCACTACCCAAACAAGCCATTTTATCCCAATGGTCTTAGTGGTTGGGATTCTGACAGTTACAACATAAATCCGTTATCTTTGGTTACCGACGTATGATAAATCACACTTCCTTAGTGCACTTGCACTTTACCGAATACATCCCAAGGTCCATGCGTCATTTTGGTCTGGCTCACATTTCCGCCCCAAACCACTCTCGAGTCGCCCTCGCACCAAGCGCCAACCTTCCGAGCCTATTCGTCCGACGTCCCTGTCGAGCTAGGATTCCCTTTATTAGTTCACTTCACCGTATCGTCATTCAGTTAATCATAGAGTTGTTAACTGTTTATTCTGCGCACTCTGTGACCGGAAAGCAAAGACCACGCCAATAGCCAGTTGATGACCTGCATCATTACTCAGGTGTCAGCCAACTTATACAACAAGGGGTACCCATCGTGATACAAAGCGAGTTGGCTGTGAAAGAAACAAAGGAATACATACACAACATGGCTACCCTCCTGGATGGAATATTCTGTTTATGAAGTCACCAAACCCTTTATTTTTCCGTTTTTTGTGCGGCGGGGGTGGTTGTTTTGGAGGAGGGGGTGGGGGGCTAGGAGGAGGAGGGGGTGAAGGAGGAGGAGATGGTGGGCGTGGAGGGGGCGGAGGAGGGGAGGGTGGTAGGGGAGGACTAGGAGGTGCGGGGGGTGCGTATGGGGCGGTAAGTACACAAGAGCCAGAAACCAGGTCCCAGTTTTGCTGGATGAGGAATTTGGTGCCGTCTACTCCCACTAGGTTGTACTTGATACCAGAGGTGTCAGTGCTAAGGGGGGTGAACCTGTCAGGTGGGAACGGAATAGGAAAGGAGAGGGATGTGGGATGAAGGAGGGGAGGAAAAGCATCAATGCTGAAAATGTGGTGGAGAGTGGAAGTGCTAGTATTAGAGGCTGGGCAGAAAGGTACAAGGTATAAGCAGGTCACAAAGTGGTAGCACAAGGGCCACTCACTTCCAGGAGCACTTGTCCGCATTCTCATTGCCCTCTCCGTCAAACCATGTGGAGACGAAGGGGCTGGAAGCGGCTTCTGCGAGCTCGTGGGCGAAGACAGAGACCAGGCCATCCATGCCTGCGTCGCCCGTGGGGGCCAGAGACGCGTCGCTGCGGATGTCCCTGGGGAGGCAGGATGTTGGGCACTGCGCAGGCGAGGAAGAACATGAGAAACTGAGTGTTTAGGGGAGGTCTGGCTGCAAACCAAGTTTCGAGCTCGATAGGCTCCACTCACGAGCAGGTTTGCGTTGCCGACCCAGGAGTAGATGTACTCGCCATAATCTTCGGCCCATGCGAAGAAGTGCCACCCACAGTAGCCCGAGCAGAACCCCGGAGACGTGGTCATGTTGTGCCATTTCTGCAGACGCAGCAGAGAGATACACGTGGCAAATGAAGATAAAGTAACAGGCAATGTGGTCCAGCCACACATGTCATGTCCTTTGACACAGCACCACACCACATGCTGCATTTAAGAGTAGGGCATCACAGCACACCTGGTTGACAAACTCGTCCGAGAGGAGGAAGTAGACGGCACGGGGGTCGTGGGGCAGCTGTTGGCTGCTAATGGCCGATCCGAGCAGCACTTCTATGTCTCTTTTGAGCATCGTCTTGCCCTTGCTGTACGCCCTGTCCTCCACCTCGCCGCCCCACGTCACGGATTGCGATATGTGGTTGCCATCCTCGTCGTAGTAGAGCCGGTTGATGTTCCACCACAATGGAACTGAAACAAACAAGTAAATGAGTGGGAAACGCCACTTACGATTAATTATAAGACATGACATCTTGGTAAGTCTTGAGCCGAAGGAATTTTCCAGGGCCGCCTACCGGTGACGGCGGTGTCAGCGTTGGGGCTGAGCGATGCGACGAAGGTGCGGAGCGTCTGCTTCTGAGCGTCGGAGAACACGCCGTACCACATCACGAACACGCGGATCGGCCTATGCAGCACGCCGCACCTGTTCCCGCACCACGGCGTCCCCCAATGCGGGGAGATCCCGATGGGCTCTGCGGTACCCATGATTGTCGCGCGGGAGTCCGTCGTCACCGTGCCGACTTGACCTTCCCTGAGATGGGTGAACGCATACAGCAGGGCTGGAGATGATTACAGAAGCCACGGGAACGGGGCGTGTTCTTTGTTCACAAAGAATTTTAGTAGGAGGTGGTGCTCAGGCATTCCGGTCTAATACAAACTCAGCCTGAGGCAGCTGACGTGGTCAACAGGGACGCACCATGTGGTGGTCGGCGCGATTCCAGGGCGGTGAGCTTTAGTATTTGGATTGTGATGACCCATCAGCGGCGCGGGTTCTTGGATTGCTGTCGGCCAGAGGTGCTGTCGCAACAATCCGGACGAATGAAATGCACTTGGAGGCGTTTGGACGAGCGTTTGAGGAGTCGAGTTGCTAGTAATACGACGACTACTACCAGCCTTGACTTTTAGAATTCCTCTGAGGAGAACTGCTAGTAGCGTTGAAAGCGCAAACACACACAGCGATCTGACTCTCCGGCGTGGCTTAACACCTTGACTCATGCCGCAGTTCGAACACAAATAACGGCAATTCCACTTGAAGTTTGATCCCATTGCTACTAGCAGTAGGCCCGTGAATCCTGCGCCACGAGAGCTGGAATTGTCAGCGAGTTCACAAGGTTCTTCGTGCGGATGAATTCACAAGAAATGCTAATTTCCGTAGCTTAGAGGCACGCAGTGGATTAGTACAATATAGCAGACGAGTTGCACGTGATTCTGGAGAATGAGGCCATATGGATTGACTACGAGGTGCATTGAGTCCAGACCGATTAGTAATCGCTGATTGCTGCACGTTGCATGTGTGAACGTGCCTTTTTGTACTGAACAAGAATGATGCGTATGGCCTTCCTCCTCTGATGCCTGATAGATGTTCTCATCATGGGGCAGGGGAACACAGGAGGGGGTAGATGTTCTCATCCGATGAGTCATGGGGTATACGTTCTCTTTGTAGTTTCAAACAGCGTGGTTGATTACGTTCAACTACGCTTGAGCGTGGTGGTTTATGTGTCCGCCACATAGAACTTCTAATCCCTCAGGTAACCATGAAGAAAAAGTACGACCCGCCCTCACCTCATCAGGTCTGGTCTGGTGCGAATGGCGTTTGGTTGGTGGTGAGGGGTTACAACAACCTGGTACGCAGCGCAACTGCAGCAACCATCCTGGTACGAAGTGGCTTCATCCTTGCATGGCATTTCCTTGTTTGCCATTCATGGCACCCAAATGTTGACATGTCAACGCTTGCTGTGTTCAAATCGGGTGTACACAGAACAGTGTGTACCTCAAATCGGAAACGCATGCGACTCGGAAAGGCATCGACTGTACCGCAAAGGCTTAGGGTAACCAGGTACTGTACTGTATTCGCAGTGTTCGAGGCGACGAGCGACCAATCTACGAGATCGTCCATTTGCAGCACTGCGAGGGTGTCCCCGCGAAACCAGCTGAAAGTCGTGACAGTCAGTTGTGGTTGCAAATGACATTGAGTCACAGGGTCGCATGAACTTTGGCAAGGCGACAAGCCTTTTGTTAGTCAACGCTACTGTTTAACATGCCTCCCGCAGAAGGCAAGGCGAGCGTCACATGCGGAGTTACATGGCTGCGCTACGGGGTTTGATGAGTCGCAACTGTTTTCGCAGGGTTGTTACAACACTTCACATGTTCCGCATCGTGGTCAACAGAGCTGGCGAGCACCTGCTGCTTGCGAACAGGTCGAACTGTCGCAAAAGCAGATTGGTTTAGGGCGCGTGTCTTATACAGTATTTTGCAAAACTCGTTTGAACCTAGGTCGACCTAGGCTCGAATATATAGATTCATTCTGCTCGATCCGCTGTTCCACGCTTCACATGTATCACGCGGTAAATATCGAAGTTCAACTCTAAACAGTAAATACCGAGTCGCGCTACACTTTCGTAGGTTACCTGGTAGGGCGGTGCGTTTCGTAAACGTATCTGGCTTCAGTAGCCAGGTACGTTGTGCCTCGTTGCTGTCGTCGAGTTCGTGAATTTTCGTGCGTGCGCAGAAGGAAATAAGTTGGAAAAATTCACCAACTTTTTTCCGAACGTCTACACCAAAAGACACGTGCCCTCAGCAGCGTTACAAGCTCTGGATAATGGAGGCTCATTCTACTCCTTCAGCTGCACTCAAGGGAATATGGCGGCCAACTTGGTACATTTCACAAAACAAGCTGGTTCTAAACAAGGAAGCAAGTATATTCAAGAAGGAGGTTACCCTCCAGGCTTAAATATCCTGGTTAATATGTCGCCCATGTTGGGCTGAAGTGCCCTTAGGATCTTTGTAGAGTTTAAGTCTGAGTAGGATTGTAATAGCGGAAGCGTTGAATAAGTAAGCCTTGAACCACCTCGCGCTGGTATGTGAGGGCAAAGTAAGTTGATTAAAACAGACAAGTACAAAGCTTTATATAAGAGTACAAGGAATACGAATAGATGTAATTAAACTACCTTGCTGTTGCGATTCGATACAGTGCGACTCGGGCAACTGCTCAATGTCGAGTCAGTTGTGTGTCATTGCTGTCGCGCTGTATTGGTCAAGTCAAAGGTCGCTGACCTTTGACCTTCCCGTAACCTTCAGGCGGTTACCCTAACTTCCGAGGGTTGACTCGAAATGCTTCGATTTGGACTGCTTCGCTTTGTGTCCTGAGTTTCGACACGACAGAGGCGCTTAAGACTTATTGTTCCTAACAGCCCAAACCCTTTTTTTGCGGATTCTTTGGCGGCGGTGGTGCTCGTTTTGGAGGCGGGGGTGGGGGGCTAGGTGGAGGAGGGGGTGAAGGCGGAGATGGAGGGCGAGTGGGGGGAGGGGGAGGTGAGGGAGGTAAGGGAGGGCTAGTAGGTGCGGGGAGTGCGTATGGTACAGTTACTGCACAGGAGCCAGAAACAAGGTTCCAGTTTTGCTGTATGAGAAATTTGGTGCCGTCTACTCCCACCAGGTTGTACTTGATGGCAGAGGCGTCAGTGCTAAGGGGGTTGAACCTGTTAGGTGGAAAGGAGTAGGGCAGGAGAGAGAAAGGGGTTGAGTGGGAGGTGGGCGGGGCATCATTACTGGAAACGTTGAGGGGTAAGGCGGAGTTGCTCACTTCCAGGCACACTTGTCGGCATTCTCATAGCCTTCCCCATCGAACCACGTGGAAACAAAGGGACTGGAGGTGGCCTCTGCAAACTCGTGGACGACCAGGCCATCCATGCCGGGGTCACCCGTGGGGGACAGGGACGCGTCGCCGCGAATCTCTTTGGGAATGCAGGTTGCGGGGCACTGCACAGGCGAGAAAGAGAATATATGAGTAGATGAGTGGGTGGTTCAAGTGAGAATAGGCCGCAAAACAAGGTATGCTGGAATGGTTGAAGAGCCGTGATCGATAGGCTTCACTCACTATCAGGTCCGCCTTGCCGGCCCAGGAGTAGATGAAGTTTCCGTAATTGTCGGCCCATGCGTACTCATGCCACCCACAGAAATGTGTGCATAATTTCTTGGACGTGAGCTTGTCGCCCCATTTCTGCAGAAGCAGCAGAGAGAAACTAGTGGCAAATGAGAAATATAATCACAGACCATGCGGTCCAAGTCACACATGTTTTGCAAGGCGCACGTTCAAGTGACGACCTTTGACACATCACCATTGGACATGCCACTTTCAACAATATGGCATTACATCTCAGCACACCTGAGTGACAAACGAGTCCGAGAGGAGGAAGTAGACGGCACGGGGGTCGTACAGCAATTGTTGGCTGGTAATGGCCGACCCAAGCAGGTCCTCTATATGGCTTGTGGGCAGCGTCTTGCCTTTACTGTACGCCCTGTCCTCCACTTCGCCGCCCCACGTCACGGATTGCGAAATGTGGTTACCATCCTGGTCGTAGTAGAGCCGGTTGATGTTCCACCACAATGGAACTCAAACAAACGAATAGAATGAATAAGATACACCACTGAATTCCTTTAGAACGACATAACACCTTGGCCGATACATGCTACACGACTTTCCTCATTCACGAGACTCTATATGATTGGGGCTTGGGGCGAATTATTTCTGGGTGTAGCGGCGGAGACAGAGGGGGCTGTTGGAAGATACACCCATAATAGAACTGTACATTAGGTGTAGCACACACATGTACGCATGAGGGTTTTCTTAGGCTCGTGGTCTCTCTGCGAATCCTCCCGGAGCTACCCACCAGTGACGGCGGTGTCAGCGTTGGGGCTGAGCGATGCGACGAAGGCGTGAACTGGCTGCTTCTAAGCGTCGGAGAACACGCCGTACCACAGCACGAACATACGTATCGGCCGATGCAGCACGCCGCACTTGTTCTCGCACCACGGCGTCCCCCAATGCGGGGAGATCCCGATGGGCGGCTCCGTGGTACCCATAATCTTCGCGCTTCGGCCCCGCCTTGACCTTCCCTGAGGTGGGCGAACGCGTGCAGCAGGGATGGAGAGACGGTTACAGAAGCCAAAGAAGTAGCGTATCCGTTTTTTGCAAAGAATTTTTGTAGACGGCGGTGACTACTACTGCTGCTAGACTCGGAACCTTCTCGCGTTCCATTTTTACTTTACAACTCAGATCGACGCAATCAGAACAAGGACGCCGCACCAGGTGATGATCGGCGTGATTCCGGGCCGGCGAGCCCCGGCATCCGGATCATTATGTCCCACGTGGCCGGCACCCACTGGCGGTGATGATCCTTGGATTGACCGCAGGAGCTGTTGCAACAACCCGGACGACCGAAATGCGCTACGAGGCTGGACAAGCGTGCGACGACTACCAGCCCTAACTTCTAAACCTCTGCTGAAGAGAATTGTTATCAGTATTGAAAGCGTACATATACAGTTCGGGCTGGCTCTCCGTGGCTTAACGGTTCGACTCATTGGCGCGATTTGCACGCAAAGAACGGCATTGCAACTTCGTGTTGAAGCTTGATCCCATCGCTACTAGCAGTAGGCCACTGTCCGTGAAGACTTAGCGCCACGAGGATCTGGGAAGTGTCCGTGAG